ATACTGGATATTATTATTATTGTTATTATTACTTTTATTTTTATTAGGGTTATCTCTATTAGACTAACTAATTTGAATTTGTGATGACTGTTGCTGCCTAAAATGACAGGCTCTATCAGTCAATTTGCAGTAACTCTTTCAAGTCTGTTCACAGCCAGCACCACCCGATATACAAACTTGTTCAACCCTTTAAGGAAAAAATTCTCGGCCAGGTCATTCTATTTTAGTTTTACTACTATCCCTTCATTTATTTATTTCTTCTTCCCTTTCCCTTTTTTCACTCTCTCTCTCTCTCTCTTTTATATTTTTATATTCGAAAATCTGTTATTTTTCTTTCTTCCTTTCCCCGCTCTCTTCTTTTCTCTTTTGGTTTCCCTTCCTGTTAATCTAGAATATCTTTCTGGATGAATTGTCCCCATTTATTAAGAAGCTTCTGTCTGAAGAGATAAATATAAAAATATTCACAAAATAAATTATAACTAAAATGGATCTTTAAGGTTTTTTTCTTGAGTTTTCATATATATATATATATATATATATATATATATATATATATATATATATATATATATAAAATATTTATATATATATATATATATAAAACTCAACTGGAATGAACTTAAGTTCTAACAGATGTTCAAAGAAAGGAGTTTCATTGAGAGTGCAAATGTTTATCATGTCAAGAGTAAATTCAGGGTCTGTTCTGTAATGATTAAACATTGCTAGCATTTGGTATTGGTGTGGGTATTGAATATTGCAAGCCAGCTTTCTCACCCAGTGAGCTGTTAGAGGAGAGGTCAGTTGCAAGTCTCTGAATGAGACTTGATATTTGGAGGTACACACTCATACACCCATAGTATCATCTGCATATATATTTACTAATGATCTGGGAATGTTCTGAAGCAGATCATTAATATAAAGTAGAAAGATGATGGAGAGAGCCTTGTGGGTAAAACCTGCATTAATGTCACGGGCTTCAGGATGCCATGAAGGATGACCTTCGTGGACCTACCTGAATGGAAGGACTTGATAATTCCAGAGATAGCATAGCTTGAGAGTTTGTGTAGCACCCACTATGCCACAACTTGAGATATCTCAGGCAATTGCTCTCATGATGAAGTTACTAATGAATATTTTGTTAATTCAGTTTGTAATGATTGTTAAACATAAGCAGTGGACCTAGAGGAGAGTAAATCCATACTGTTCATCACTCAGGAGGTTGTTTTTTTTTTTTTTTTAGGTGATCAACAACCTTTTTTTTTTTAAATAGACACAAAGAATTCACTGATATCACTACGAAAGCTGATAGGGTTATATTGCAATGGGATTGAGTGTTCACTTGCATTCTTAAAAACAGGGCATACCTCTAACACTTTCCGTAGACTTCAGAAATATTTCTCCTTCAGGCAGTGGTTAAACAACTTTGCTAGGATTCGGTTAAGACTCTTAAGGACAACCACAGGGATTTAATCTGGTCTGGTTGCCTTCATAGAGCCAGGACTTTTGATGAATCTGGAAATTTTCCAAGCAATGATAGAGAAGTGTGGACAGATTGTGCTTTTTATAGATTATGTACTGTAGAGTTTGGTAATAGCAAAAGTCAGTAGTCATATTGATTCTTATGTTCATTGATTGATTTGAGTTTTTTATGGCTTATTAACATTTTGCAAGTTATTTAAAGACACAAAATATTTTCAGTTGTCAGAATTTTTTTTGAGATAATAATGATTTAGTGATACAAGTCTTACTAATTGTTACGGCAATTTACGCATGCATGCATGGACTCTCCCAGCTATAAATAGGAGCAAGTACTGCCTTTTGGAGAGGGAAGTTTCCAGCAGCCAGCTCTGACAATTGGACTCAACATTCTTGCTGTAACACTCTCATTTGTATATGTTTGTATTACTGTTTCTGTTAATATATTTGTTTAACTCAATTCCTCTCTTTGTGCCTTTATTTCTGGCCCTAACAAGGCCACAGCACTAATTAACCCATAGCTGGGGGGGGGAGAAAAGATGGATTCATATCTTTCCCAAGAGTATTTGCACGTAAGTGGATATAATTGAATACAATTGGAATTGAAACTTAGCTCTCTGATTCTTATGTTGAATTTCTTCTAATATGGCATGGCCAAAACCATTTTGGATTATGAATTTAGATATTTTGAGAATTTTGGCTATCCTTTGTGTCATGTAATGTTAATTATCTTCCATATTGTATAATGTCAATAATTCTTAAGTAATGTCTTAAATTGATGTCATCTATCTCAACTGATTTGGTCAACTAGTAAAGTATCTTTCCTATAAAATGTTCAAATCTTTTTTTTTTAAATTTCAGTTGCATTTTTACCTTTCTTAAAATAAAATATAAATAATATTCTGGAAAGGTAATAAACCAAAATAAATAAATTTTGACAATTTAAAATAAACATATATTATTATGGTGGCTGTCACATTGAAATAAAAAATTATCTTTATATTAAATTATATGTGGAAAAATAAGTGAAAGTACCTGTGTGTGTGGGGTTGCGGTCAAATGTGGGGGGCAGAGTGTTTGCATGGCATGTTTTTCAAAGTAACGCTGCTCTGAGTGCTGGTTTTTGCATCAGATGCACAGGTCTGCCATCTTGTTACTTAAGGCCTGCCTTCCCTTCTTATATCTATTTTTTTTTTGTGAGAGGAACTTTATGAGAACAGAGTTATTTCATGGTTCTCACATTATTAACTGATCCTTGACTGAATTTTCAGATGTGAGACTAGGCAATGTTTTGAAGCATTTACTGTACCAGATCAGCTTCTGATCTACCCTTTGAGTCAAAAGGAATTTTCAACATGTTAATTAAAACTACACCTTCTTCATTCCTTCAAAACAACACAAATAGAACAAAATTTTGGGGCTTCCCAATTCTGAGGGAAACGTAAACATTGATGATAATGGTTGGCATTCAAAGCAAAGTAAATGTCTGAATTTCAGATGCTGATTTTCATGGCAGATAAACTAGCTCTTCCCACTTAAAATACAATTTCATATATATATATATATATATATGTGCAGTTCAATTTATATTACATGAATTTTTGTATGAAGGATTCGTGTAATATAAATTGAACTGCACCACATATTTGATTTAAAAAGAACTGATCTGACGTGCAACTTCCGGGATAAAAGCGGTGACATTGCTCTATTTATTGAATAATTTAGTTCATGCCACATCGACTGAAAAATCTACTACAACAAAAGAATTCTCAAATTACCATATTAGTAAAAATAATGCACTCTCTTTTAAATTTTCAAAAAATTCAACATTAGCGTTGCAACCGCACACTCCAGAATTTCTTACAGTTAACAATAACACATTTCTAAAAAACATATTTCGATTCACATCTAATCTTTCGTGTCCCGTTATTACCTGGATGTATTTAAAAAAAAACAAATCAATTTCTATGCCTGATGATTTCTGTATGAACAGATGAAAGTACCAGCAAAAAAAGCCCTTATACAATTTGAATTTATTGAAAAACAGGGATCACAACATTCATCTAGAGGTTCGTGGGTTAATGTAATTTTAATAAATTTGTTTGCAAAGATGTATTCTCGCCATTTATATCATTAACTTCACTAATCTGTTTTTTGTCTGAATGATTCATGTAATATATATATATATATATATATATATCAAAGTATATAATTGGTATATACGGAATGAATTCCAATAACCAACAATTACTATTCTTAAAAGAGTGCTCAATACAAAGTAGAGCAGATATAATTATTTTTTATAAAAAATTATAACATAAGTATGTTATAAGATCACTACAAAAATAGCCATTTAATCTAATTATGTCTGGGTGCTTATGTATTATAATCTGATTGTGTTTTTGTTGTCTTAACGCGTGAGTTTAAGACCACATCCACAAACTTTAAAATAAAAACGGAAATGAAAGGGAAAAGGAAAAAAAATATATATACATGTATTATCAAATGACCGGATATATTGTAGCGTCCTTGTCGAACGTAATTTCAATGAAGAAATGAATTGAATAAACATATATATTTTTTCTTTTCTCAATAATTTTGTAGTTTTTAAACTTAATAGTGATTAAATTTGGATTTTAAAATTACCAGTTTTTAAATTTTAATATTAAATTTTATCATATAATTTTATAATTATTAGTTAGTATAAATTATTTTTTAATATTACACGTATTTAAAGACCTGAATAGCTATTATAGCAGGATTTCGTTGTCAAGCTTTTGAATCTTTCTATACTTCGTTTTTGATTGGTTATTCTAGCTTTTGTAACAATGCTCCCCCTAGTGTAGGATCGTTAATTAATCTGAAACTTTTTAAAACCATTTATTTTCTTTTCAACATCATCACTTGAGAAGACACAGAATGTGTTGAAACAAAATGGCTATTTTTGTAGTGATCTTATAACATACTTATGTTATAATTTTTTATAAAAAATAATTATATATATATATATATATATATACATATACATGTGCGTGTGTATCATAACCTGAATAAACATGACCAAATTAACTTGACCTGGGTAGCCAAAAGGAAATGCAAGGAAAACTTTAACTGAGCCAAAATAGACAGTTCTCAGTAGTTCAAACAAAAAAATCCAAAAGAGAAAACAAATCCAGAAAAGAGTAGAACAAATTTCAAAAGACTAACTTTAGGACTAAAGTTTGTTTTCTTTTGCTTCAAACCGTCTGAAGATTACTTTGAATGTGAAGCTGCTACTTATAGTGAAGTCCTGTGTTTTTTAGTTTGGGAATGTGTGTGTGTGTACACAAGTAAAATAAAGCAATGCTTATATTTTGTTGGGAGAAGGTTTGCACCCAGGATCATACTGTATATTGCGTTTCTTAACAAAACTACTGCTATTAAAATACTGGATATTTCTAAATCCACTTTACAAATTTTTGTTTTTATAAAAAAATGTTTCTTATGTGCGTCTTGTCTGACTTTTGTCTTCTCATATGTTTCAGCTTCAGACTGTCATCAGATGTTCAGAAGCAGACTGAAGAAATCAGGAACATTTGCATCTCCTGGATTTCCTTCTCACTATCCAGAACTAGTGTCCTGTCGGTACATCTTCGAAGCTGTTGGAGATGAACGGATTAAAATTAAGTTTGATTACTTTGAACTTGAAGGAAATACAGATGCTGGGTAAGAGAAAATGTTTGTTTATTTCACACCCCCACTATTTTTCTTCTTTACGTTAATTCATTCAAACTCTCTACACTTCATTCCTGCTATTTTGCAAAATTTTTTGGTTGTCTACAGAAGTTTTGTTTATTAAATCTTTGAATGATCAAAGGATAAACTATAACTAAAAGAAAAATGATAGTCTATTAGAGTTAAATTAATAAAGAATGTTTAGTACCATATATACTCACGTATCATGTGACCTTTGAAGACCTAATTTTGAAGCTAATTTGACTACAGTAAATCAACAGTGTAGCCAGGCCCAGCAGTACATACACTAATTTTATATCTCGCGTATGATGTGACCCCCTAAAATTAGCTTCAAAATTAGGTCTTCAAAAGTTGCATGATGCATATATCAAATTGTTTTTCCTTTTTTTTTTTTTTTTTTTGCCATCTCCTTTCAGGATATAAGCAATCGTGACCCCTCCCCCCCCCCAGATTCCTTTTCTTTCATTATCTATGAATTGACATGTATTCTCATGAAAGATAGTCAAGTGGTTTCCTATTGCCTTCTCCACAGTTTCAAATATTTTTCTTTTTCTCAGACTGGTTGCCACCAAAGGCAAGAAAGCCCAGTCTACCTTGATATTTAACTCATAACTGGAGGGAAAGCAACAAATTCATGACATTTCCAAGGGTATTTGTTTGAAAGTGAACACTGCAGACTGGCTATCTCTTTTTTTGATTATCTTTGAATTGCCATGCAAAGTTGGGAAAGATTGTGGAGTAGTTTCCTATTGTCTTCTCTAAGGTTTGAATTTGAAAGTTTTCTTTCTCTTTGACTAGTTACAAGCCAAGTCTAAGGAGAACAGTCTACCTTGCTATTTAACCTCTTGCTCGTATGGAGAAGAGATGGATTCATACATTTTCTAACAGCATTAATGCAAAAGTGAATGTAACAGGGACACTGAGAATTTGAACCTCACTCACCAATTCCACTTTCCTCTCGGATATCCATTACCCCATCTGCCCATCCCCTATATCAATTTATCAACAACTAAAAGGCAGTGATACTCTTATAACAAGAGTTATGTTAAGAAAATATCATGGAATATTCTCATTATTCTACCTATTTTATTATGAATAAAAAAACTAATGATCTTTATTTGAAATATACCAAGAATTTGTTTTAATTAATTTTTTCTTAATTTTCTCTCTTTTTTTAAAATATTGTTTTTTATCACAATATTTTGAGCTGACATGTTCTTTGAGAGTTCAAGTCAGCAGTGTAAAATTAAAGTAATTTTTAAGATAGTGGATACAGGTTCAAATATTTGTTGAGGCTATTTCCTAGTTCTTATTTCATACTATTTACTTGAATGGCCAAATACCAGATTGATTAATAACAATGCAATAAAAAATAATGAAGAAAATAATCAGAATAATTAATTTAACAAATTAAAACATAATCAGTGACTTAATATTTTTAATTGGTATTAATGGTGTATCATAAATGGGTTTGTTACATTCAATATGCACAAATACCCTTAGGAAAGGTTTGAATCCATCTCTTTTCCCACCAGCTGTGGGTTGAATAACAGGACAGACTACGTTCTTTAGCCTTGGATGGCAACTAGTCTACCACAGAAAGAAGTTCCTGCAGGAAAATCTTCTGCCTGGCCAGTCATGTATCATAAGAGACATGATCGCCCAGGTGTGTATCACATACGGCATTTAACTGACACACTGATCAATTTTAAAAGAAAGGGTAAAATATTCTTGCCCTATTTTATAATTAGGTTTCTTTCTTCCTTTGCCTTTTATTTGTTAATGCTGACAATGGATATAACAGATATTTTTCTGTTACAGTCAAACTATAATAATTAATTATGGAAGGGCGGGTTATTTATATATTTATTCACTCTCTCTTTTCTCTGTCTATGGCACTAAAAAGAGTGACATGACCATATTTGACTGATGTTTAAGCAGAATATAGGGAAAGTTGGATTTATGCCTTTTTCCCAAGGTAACAAAGTGATAGAATCAATTTTGTCTAGTGTTAGAATTTATTTTGTTATATATGTTTTTGAGCTAATAACTGTAACAATATCATGAACTTCTTCCTTATATGGGTTGTTTAATAGACACTTTTTATCTATAATTCCAATATTCTCCATATTAATATTGCAGTAATTGCCTACCTTTCTGTGTAAGGTGTCTGTCAAGCTAATAAAAGAAACAATATAAATAAACAGCAAATTCTGTCTGTCTGAAACCCCCTCTGACATAGGCCAAACATGCTCTACATAGACATATTATACCTTTTTGGAATCAGGGTGATCCTGGGATTGAAAATCTGCCATAGATCTGGTGCTTGAACATCCAGCATTGGAATTTGTGTTCAGATAAGGACAGAACAGTTAATAATTCAAATCATCTTCTTATATACAAGGTGTGATGGATAAGTTGTTGTCTAAATTACACAAAAATGAAAATAACACTGACATCTTATTTTAACAGATATATTTACCAAAATTACACAAAAATATCTTGAAATACTAAAAAGTAAATTTATTCATTAAAATCGCCATTGGTGTCAAACATGGCCTCCAGACAACTTCGAAGTCTCCTGCAACTCTTCTTGATGATCTCCTTGTTTAAGTTGGTGAATGCTGCCATAATTCTTGCTGTCAGTTCATCTTTGGTGTTTAAAGAGTTTTGTTTGTCTCTCATTCAATTGCACCCCACACATAATAATCAAGGGATTGCAAGTCTGCAGAGTTAGGTGGCCAGATGTAAGGGATGATGTGGTTGCAGAAATTGTCTGACAGTCTTGACTGGGTTCTCTTGCTTGTGTGACATGGTATCTTGTTGCCAGAAATAGGGTCTTCCAGCAGCCACCCTCTTGACTCAGTGCAGTAATACCTACTCAAGGCACTTAATGTAGGCCACTGTGTTGAGTCTCAGGTTTTGTGGGAAAATCAATGGAGGCATAATGACACCGTCACTAGTGATCACTAGTAAAACAACATTGTAATCACCATTCATCTGATGCTTGAACATCCAGCATTGGTATTTGTGTCTGGATGAGGAGGGAACAGTTAAAAATTTAAGTCTTCTACTTAATATATAGACACACATACATACCAAGTGTAACAGCATAATTGTCCATCTCACAAAATGTTTAATAACTAGTTACTTTTTTCCAGGTTTTCAGATAAAACATTTAGCCATCTCGATACTGTGTGTCGTAGGAATCACTGAAAAACCCTTTGAGTTATTCAACTAGAAAGAGAATAGGTTAAAATCATTTTGTATCAGCCCCATTTCTTCCCAACTGAGCAATGATGAGAGGAAAAAGATCATTAGGCCTTCAATAATGGTACCAACATTCATACTCTGGCTTCAAGAAAACACTGAATAAGTTTAAAAAAGAGGGAACAGTAGAGAGGAAAACTGGATGAGGAGGTCACAACAGGAAGAGGAATCATCATTTCAACTTAGAGCTAAAGAGATTAGTTAGAAAAGATCCAACTCAATCCATAAGATGTTTGGCACATGAGAAAGGAGTTTGAGCTATGACAGTTCAAAGAACAGTGAAAAAAGGACTTGAAAATGAAATTGTACTTGAAACATATGAGGCACCTTGTTACTCCACTACAGAAAGTTAGAGGGACCAAAGATCTTCTTGAATAAGTTGGAAAGTGATCCTGGAATAATAATAATAATATATATATATATATATATATATATATATATATATATATATATATATATATATATATATATTTGAACTTTATTTCAATCCTTTGTAAGCTTCCAATCCTCAGCTATGATTAATTAATGATGAACATTTTTGTTTATGATCGATTTCATCACGATTCTTCTGTTAAGCTTGGAGAGTAATTATACATTCTTATTGTTCAAAGTAGAGTCCAATAGTGTTATAAAAACCTTGGAGAATTCCAGTAAGATATCTTTAATCATTTCTAAGTTACAACGTTTCAAAGCTTAATTTAACAATTGGAAAATTTTGCTCTTACACAATTTGGACAGTTGTGTTGTTACACCCAGTATATCTTCTAAATAAATAAACAGCAAATTCTGTTTGTCTGTCTCTGTGTCTGAAAGCCTTCTTACTCAGGCCATACTAAAAAAGAAAACAATATTAAATAAAGCTTCAACTATTTTAAAATCAAAGGAATTAAAGGAGTAATAAAACTCAAGACAACAAACCTGTTGATGTCTTTCCATCTTGTTTCCATCTCTATTTTCTTTTCTTTCATTCACTTTTCTTTTCATTTTTCTCTAGCTTTCTTTTTTACCCATAACCGTTTCTCCTTCACACATTTTTTCCAACTTTTCTGTTTTGTTGTGGATGAAGAAATGATGGGAAGGTGATGGTCATCTGTGTGTACACTTTCATCCTAGTCAGTAGTACTATACATAAATAATCTGATCATTCTTGATAGAGTCCCTGGTCATTTTCTTCTATCTACTGTGACGTGGACAATCATGACTCTTCACAACTTCCTTAATATGTTTTTTTATATGCAAGATATTCCTTCTCTTAGACAGACTGCCTTAAATAAGGTTAAAGGACTGCATCTACTCTACTGTTTTATTTTAATATAAATATTTAATACCTGTTGCATGTTGAGCAAAAGACATTTATAATCATATTGCTTACAAAGTCAGTTATCATACACAATGCTTCTTTAAAATAAACTGTTTATTGCATTCAGATTTCATCAGAAGAAAACATTATTTTAAAATTTCTTTTATTTCATAGAATTAATCTCTAAAACTTTACATTGCTTTTTTATAACCAGTTTATAAAATTACTTCTTAGCAAGTTGCATTTGTCTATTGAAAATACAGAAATAGTCCTTATAGAATTAAAACTATAAATTGCATTTGTCTATTGAACATTTAGAAACAGTTCTATACAATTAAAACTACAAATTTCATTTGTCTGTTAAATCTTCAGAAATAGTCCTTATAGAATTAAAACTACA